GAGTAAATCAACTATTCCTTCTGAGGACTTGTATTATTATAAAGAGCATAGATAGAAGGGATAGTTTGTGACACTAACAAACAACAGAGTTAACATGAAAACCACTTGCTGTCTTTCTCAACGGAAAATGCAGAGCTGCTTCTACCTAGAGGCCAACAGGAGAACTGCTCTTGTACAGTGAACTCCTTTCATTGACCAGCAGCCCAGCTGCTAGGTTGAGGACGCCACTCACCTCCTCACCAGGTGGCTCTAAAGCTTCAGCCGGGAGCAGTGTGGACCCAAGGGAACACAGTGTATATGAATGGACCAAAATGTCTTGGGGATCGTGCAGAACAGAGAGCTCTGGAGCTGCAAAGATCATAGCACCCCTCTGCCAGTCTAGGATTGATCCTGGGGGAACCCTGGATGGTTCAGAAGGACCAAATCCAACCTTACTTCCTCTCCTGTGAAATGTGGGAGCTGGGAGGATTCAGTCCAATTTAGCTGATATTTGTTAAGACCTCCTGCATGCCAGGCAGAATTTTCAGCACTTGGGATGCGCTGGTGAAGAAAACAAAGCTGTCTCCATGAAGCTCAGATGAGATAATGCATTTGAAAATATTTTGTAAACACTACTGTGCCACATGCACAGGGATAATTGTCCTTTGTGTTTCTACTACATTGGGACGCCCTGTTCGTTTCAAACTAATGTGCCTGGGCACTGGTTTTGGAAGTGCAACTATAACTTAAGGCTGAATTCAGAGTTACCTGAATGGAGTTGTTCACTTCACACCATGAGCCTGGCTCTGGGCCACTCACTTTTTTTTTTTTTTCACATTTCATAGTTTTATTGAGACTTTTTCAGTTTTAATTGTCTATAGTAGGTACAATTCTGATGATCATGATCATATCAAAGCTCTCCTATTATTAGCAGATAGTAAGTTGGCCGCATGCCTTAGGCACACACACACACACACACACACAACACACGATATTATACACTCCTGCATGCAAACTTAGAAGAAATACACATTCCTTTTATTAAAAAAAATTATGTACAATAAGTCTGGAATTTGTTAAGCTACCAATGATTTAGATAAACCTGAGAAGGCTCAAAATGCCAAGTAACACTGTTTCCATACTGCTTATTCAATGAAACTGTTAATCACAAAGAAATCTAGTTCAACTATATTAAAATCACAGATAATATAAAAATAAACATTTTTGCAAAAACACTAAACATACTAGAATTCAAAGTCACAAGTTTTGATATGTAACATATATTCCCCTTCATATTAATTTGTAATGATGTGTATAATATAATGTATGACATAAAAATTGTAACAGAGTTCAGCAGCCAAATCATTTACAGTTATCACTATAAAACTTGAAATTAAAGTTACCAACTGAACAACAAGAACATTAAAATAGCAGTGTTGAACTTGCTGATAGCGTGTTACTTAGAAACTCCATCTCAAAGAACTCAAAATTATATTCTTTCACCTTAAGAAAAAACACAACACAAAAATGTAAGCAGAACTGAGGACAGTAAGGGATTGTACCAGCTGCCTCTTTCTCTCCCCTCCCCCCAAGTTTTTCCTTAAATTCTAATCTATCTATAATGCCCATCCCTCCAGACTTCTAAAATGTAAGGGATCTACTTTGAATTTAGGACAACCTTTTGCATTGAAATTGGAAGTTTCAACCATATTTGGGGGCACAGTTCTAAAGGTCTTGAAAAGACAGTATAAATTTTCTATGTCGTATAAAATATAGACAATACAGACCTAGTCTGGCAAAGATATTTTGTATTTACTATTGGGCTTATGAAGACCAGGACCAGGTCTTCCACCTTCCATGTTTTCTTTGTCTCCAGAACTTAGCCTAGGACTGAAGTCAGAGTAGTCTGTCCATAAATGTGTGCTGCACGGAATGGAACTAAACCGGGATTGAGTTGATAAAGCTAATTATGGGAGTCTAGAGCATGGGCAGAGAGCTAGAGGGATTTGTCAGTATAGGCTTGTGAGTGATTTGTTCTACTTCTACACCCTCCATCCTAACAGCTGCCTGTACATTGAAATCTTCCTTAGAAATGCACATTCATTCCACCATGAAGTCCTTCCTACTCTGTGAGTCAGTGTGGCTCTTCCTCTCTTGGATCCCCTTTCTTTTATGGCCTCACCCTCAGAAATAACATGGAAACCTGATTTGTCTTATAGTATTCTCTAAAAGTACCAAACTTTTGATTCTGGAACAGTTCTATAGTTGCAGGAATAGTACCTCCACCTTCAATCATTAACAATGTTCAGTACAACTTGGGGAAGTAGTAAATTAAGTTACAGTCTATACCTTTCCTGTGGAAGAATCTCTGATTTCCCAAGATACATGTGTGCATGTGTGTGTTTGTACGTAGATCATACAATGTGCTCAGTGTTTTCTCCCTCTCTTTGTCCTCTCCATTAAGTCCTGATACTTGGATCTCTTTGGTATTGGTACTCATGAGGGAAATGATGGCACCAAAGATACGATTCTGACATCTCCCTGCCCACACCTTTGTGATCTATAGTATTTGACTCCGAAAAATAGTATGCTGGGTTTAATCCTGATTTTTCTTCTGTTCTTCTTAGTCTCTCAAAGCACAGTCATCTGTTTCAGAATCAGAATTTTAAACAAGACATTTATAACATGTGAACACTTGGCACCCCGTGCCCAGTTTTCTGAATTCAAATCTTTGAGGGTGGAGCTCCCACTTCTGCAGTTCTAACAAGTGGCTTTGGAGATGGTAGGGCGCACTGAAGTTTTAGATCCATTGTCCTGGGTGCACTGTCAGCAAGACAAGCTCATTGTGAAAGGTCTTCTGGGTGGAAAGCTAGCTGCTAAGTCCGGAACTTTTCCTGTAATGGGTTGTGTGCTTTTGGAATGGGTTTCCTCTCCCAGATCAATAGAGCGTGAACGTTTTAGATTTAGGGCACAGAAAAAGATTTGTGACTCACCAAAGTAGCATGTGCATTGTAGCTGCCATAGGTAATTCCATTCTTTGAACAGGCACTTTAAAAAACAAACATTATTTTTCCCAATTTTTAAGTAAAATAAGTCAATAAAATAAGTAAAATTGAAAGCATTTCTAATGCACCTTACAAATTAATGATTGCCATGAACATATATATCCTTGTTTATGGTGACAGTTGGTTTATAGTCCACATATGGTTTTACATCAACTTTTACATTTAAGTTTACTTTTAAATTTACATTTATATATTTGAACACAAGTGAATTAAAATGAGAAAATAATGAGTTTTAGTTATAAAAGCTTATTGTTTTAATATACACTCAAAATATATTGTATCAATACTGATTTTAGCCTTTTACCCTAAATAGTATAACCCAATCACTTTTAAGTTGGAAAAAAAAAAAGGAATCCTTCCTTGAGTTTCCTAAAATAACTATCCTAGTGGCTGATGCTTCCCAAAGTAATGACCTATTTGTAATTCTTCTCCTGTTCCTCACCAACCCCTTCTTTTTCTATCTCCCTCTCTCTCAGATTAAGAACCATGCAAAATAGTTTTTATTATTATCACTTTAATTTTGTGTTTTAGTTTAGAGAAGTCTATCTGATGATGATAAAATGGTGTATGTATGCTCTTTTAAGTATTTTTTTTTAAAGATTTTATTTATTTATTTGACAGAGAGAGATAGCGAGAGCAGGAACACAAGCAGGGGGAGTGGGAGAGGGAGAAGCAGGCTTCCCGCCGAGCAGGGAGCCCGATGTGGGACTCGATCCCAGGACCCTGGGACCATGACCTGAGCCGAAGGCAGATGCTTAACGACTGAGCCACCCAGGCACCCTTTTTTAAGTATTTTTAAAAGACTACTGGTTATGGAAAATTTATGCCCAATAAGACCACCTGCTCAGGTATAGGTAAAACTGCAGCTGCCAGGGCTATATCCAAAACTCTTTAAAAAATCCTTTTTCCTGATATAAACAGGATTGTTTTTATTTTTAAAGATTTTAGTTATTTATTTGAGAGAGAGAATGAGCTAGAGAGAGAGAGCACATGAGAGGGGGGAGGGTCAGAGGGAGAAGCAGACTCCCCGCCGAGCAGGGAGCCCAATGCAGGACTCGATCCTGGGACTCCAGGATCATGACCTGAGCTGAACGCAGTCGCTTAACCAACTGAGCCACCCAGGCGCCCCAACAGGATTGTTTTTTACATGTATTCAAACAGTGGTCCATGGGAGAAAAGTAATCCTATCGGGAATTGTTGGTCATGTTGATGTTTACCATTTAGCTACTTCTGTCAGATACTCCTCTGAATGATATACAGACACAGTATCGTTTAATGCTCACAAGCATCTCATGAAGATGGCACTCATACCTCCAATATTACAGAAACCACAACCCAAGTGCCCTCAGCTTCTAAGCTTCAGAGCCAGGATTTCGGCGCAGAGCTAGCTGGATGAAAATGCTCACGTCGTCCCTCCCACCCTGTGGTGCCCAGAGGTTAGGAGCCGTGGCTCCACCTGGGGCCAGGTGCTGGAACCCCTTCAAGGGGCTGTTCTGCCCAGTACCATGGAATGCAAACTCCCTGGAGCTAGCACTTGTTTGGCATAGTTGCACCAGTGGCCTGTCTGTCTAAGGTAGTCAACGCATATTAAAATAGTCCTCATAATAAAATAGCACGCAGTCAACCATGTAGCCTCCTTACGGAGCGGGGGAGGAGAATAGCTCACTTTCCCCCGAGGGCCTGAGAAAGATCAGCTTACAGGCGTCAGCATGGGGTGTGACCCTTCTTCTTTCTCTCCGTCTTGGCCCTGGCACGTGCCTCGGGTGACCATCATCTGACATCAGCCCACAGTCTGGGCAGAAAATGTTACCAGGTCTCCTTTTCTCCCCCACCCAAAACACACTCAGCCCTTTCACTGACCTGGCTTCTGATTGGAAGCTGGGTGCTTTGGATAGTGACCTCCAGGACCCCTCTGTGGGTCACAGCCTGTTCGCATTACTCTGACCACAACTTAAGACGTCTGCAGTGGGCTGTGAGGAAAAGTAAAAGCCTGGCGTTTTCCCATCCCCAGGTAGCAGAAGCTCGGAAGCCTGACAGCGTTCCAGCCACCTGAGTGGGCCCGGGGCAGGCAGCTGCCCATGTGGCCCTTCCAGACAGGCTCCTCGCTAAAATGAGGGATCTTCTTCAGTACGTCGCCTGCTTCTTTGCCTTTTTCTCTACTGGGTTCTTGGTTGTGGCCACCTGGACAGACTGTTGGATGGTGAATGCTGACGATTCCCTGGAGGTAAGAAGTCAGCACCTTCTTTTTCTGACCCAAGCCTGTCCGAATTTTCTCTCAGTCCCACTGTCTCAGGACACTTACCAGGACTAATGAAAGAAATAATAGCCAACATGGACGGACTTACTCCTTATTTACTACTTGCTGAGTCTTACCTTATTAGCTCATTTAATCATCACAGCTAATCTATGAGGTAGGTGGTGTTGTTATCCCATTTTATAGATGAGGTAACTGAATAACCCCTCTTTCTTCAGCAGGATGAATTCACATAAAGGTAATCACATAACCCCAGTCACTGAGTCCTCCTGAAACTCACCTCTTCCCCTGCTGCCGATGCTAAATTGAATAACATTCCAGTGACACCCTTTCTGACAACCAAACACTTTCTAATCTTGATTATGAGTAGCACGAGAGCCTCTCTTAAGCAGTGATAATGTAAGAAATTGAGTAATCAAACTCAAGGTATATCAAACTTACCCAATTACTATGCAAGAGAAAAAAATGTTATTTTAAGGAGTTTCCAAGTAGGAACAAGTACTCGGAGGGAGAGCAAGTCTTTCCAGTGGGCCCTGAAGTACCGGGGACAGATAAGGATTTACAAAACCCTCTCAAAAATAAGCTGCTCTTGGAAGCCAACTGCTATGTAAGAAATGAGTGAGAGGTTCAGATCTGAAGCATCTTATTTTTCTTACTGGAGAAGCTCAGAAAGAAGCAATTTTGAAGTTTGTAATAATTTCCTGTGGCTAGAGGAATCTGAGAAAGGTAGAACTGAGTAAAAATCTAATCTTCAAAATCAGGTACTATTCATTAGTAAGGCTTCAGAAAGTGTGGGTAAGAAAAAGAAACAATGTATCAGGAACTCAAAGACTATATAGCAACCCAATCTGCTCTCTTATGTACATCCTGAGGGGAACAATTTATTCTAACAAATGCTGTAATGTCACCTCTGTGAAGTTTAGGAAAGATACCCAAGAGCTACTTCATATATTTTTCCCCCTAATTTTATTTATCAGACTCCCAAGTTGGAGTTAGAAACGGAAAGTAATAATCTTTCTATTTTGATGTGTATTATTTTTGCATTTATTATTTTTATTTTGCTTTTAATTTTCCTCTGGCTTCTACATGGCATTTCAAAACCAACAGAGTTAGTTATAAATGCTTCTTTAGAGCCAGAAATTTATGTTTCTGAAAATTGTGATAGAATTGAATCACTGCAAAGGATGTCTGCTATATACGAGTCCAGTGATGTATTTTATCTGGCTGTGCATATAAGTGGTGAAGGAGACACAGAGCGCCCTTTGAACAGTGCTCAGAGAAAAGCACAGATAAAGAAGTCTTCTGCCATTAGCCCTGCAGCCTGGATTGCCAGTAGCCGGAGATTAATTTAGAAATATATTGAACTAGAGCACACTCAAAAGTCATTTTTTACAAATATGCAAAACCTCATCTAAAAGCACTGTTAAAATATTTTCTAAAACAATTTGAAAATCTTTCTGCTCAAGCTGACAAACATTACTAACTTCACTCGATAAGAAATGGAAGTTTAGAAAGGGTCAGACCTTGCTGAGAGAGATTGAGAGTCCTGGCATTTAAAGGGCCTTCTTGCTTTGATTTCAGTATCCAACCACTTTGCCATCTGCTGTGTGCAAGAGCACTGTTAGTTAAAATGAATGGAATGAGCAGCCCAGGTTATTCACCTCGAGTAAATCCTTGCTAGCCTTGGACAAGAGTTAGTATCTCTTAGCTTCTTTCCTATTTCTCATACCTAAAATGTATTCCACAAACATATCCCAAGAAGCCTCCACCTTAGAACAAAAACCCTGAAACAAATTAGGCCTCTTCTCTCCTACCATCTCTTTATTTATCAATATTTTTAAAGGGACATGGATCTCTTGTAATAATTGCTCCCCCAATTGGCCAGTATATAAAGGCATACAATTATCCACAGATTTGGGGGTTTTGATAATCACTGTCTCAACTCTACTATTCTCTCTCCTTGCTTCCTTCCTTATGGATGTATCATCTTTGGTTCCTATTAACAGCTCACTTTAAACAACTATTGGACAAAAGTTGACACAACAAAAGTGCTTTAAAAAAAAAAAAAGCCTACCTGTGGAGTATTTAAACACAAAGGAGTATTATGAATTTTTAGCTTTGTTAGCTTTGTTAACCTTCTAGGGTGATGCAGGCATCAGAGTTGGAAAATAGATTCTACAGTTCAATTCAACATAACGAATACGAAATGTATGGCGTATTAAAAAGTACTACACTAGTCCTACTAGGGGAGGCAGAGATAAAGCGAGAGTGGGTCCTGCCTTCCAGGAGCAGACATTTAGTGAGGAAAAAAGATATACACGACACTATAATGAAAGGCATAGGCCAGTTCATATTTGAGAAAGAAATGAACAATATACCATTGGAGCAAAGAAGATAGAATTACTATGAACTGTTGGGGACGTTGAAGCAGGCCTCAGGGAGGAAAAGGCATTTGAGCAAAGCCTCCAAAAGATGCAAAGGATTTCAAAAGGTAGAAATGGCAGCAGGGGACTTGCAGACCAGAGGACACATGGCAAAAGTAAAGAATGAGCAAAAGCTCAGGGCTTGTTAGAGGATTAAGGTGAATAACCAGGGCCACGAGGCAGAAAGAGCTCAAATATTCTTTTGTCTTACTACAGAACACTCAAAATAGTATAAAATATTATTTTGCCTTACTCAGGCCTCCCTTGAAGAGGGAAGTTCTTTGCATGAAGTAAAAATGTTAGGAAAAATAGAAATGGCCCAGGGATGGCACTGTGTGCAGCCCCGACCCGGGGATAGTGGCCCTGAGGCCCCAGCCTGCTCCTTCACTACTGATTTTCCTGTATGTCTGGGAAGATCACATGGTGGACAGAACTTGGGCTTTAAGATTATTCCAGCCTGTGTTTGCATTTTAACTGTCTTCCATTGAACAAGACCCAGCTCAGTCTTCAGCTCAGTTTCTTCAATTATAAGAGGAAGTAAACTGCGTTGTTTCAAAGTCCTTCCTCAGTCTTCACATTCTTTAATAACACCAGGACTCCTTGACTATGACTGGTCTGCAATCCCAGAGATGTGGCCCGTCACTAAAGGACCGATGGTGTCTACAGCCTCCCCCTGAAACTTCCACTAGGAATCCAGGGCGAACATTCTCAATTTCCCTGTAACTTCATACACCCGTCCTTCCTGTTTCCCATCCTCCTTGTCTCCTTATTTATTTCTTCTTCCTGTCCTTCCCTTTATCCCCTTTTTTCCCCTTCTTCCTCCCTCCTTTTTTCCTGTTTCCTTCCCTCTCTCCTCTATCCCTTATGCTCTTCCTCTCCTTACTTTTTCTTTCCACTCATTTTTCCTTAATCTCTGTTTCCTTCCCCTTCTCTCTCCTTTTTTCTTTTCTTTTCTTTCTATCTCCCTTCATTCCACAAATACTGACTGATACCTCTGTGCACCCGGTGCTGTGGTGGGTACAGGTTAGGAAGGAAGATGCAACCTGGATCTACTTTAGGTTACTCCTAGCGTGCTGGCAGAGACAGACAAGTGAACAGAGCATAACAGTATGTCGTCACAAGTGCCATCATAACAAACAACTCCCAGTGGCCAGCTCTCCCAATCTCAGATAATGAGTAAAGGCAATCCAGAAGAAGAAATACCTAAACTAGGACTTGAAGAATAGGTGGGTGAGGGAGAAGTGGAGAGTATCCCAAGCACAGGAAAGAGTATGGGCAGAGATCCAGGTAAGAGCAGTATTTGTGGCTTTAGACTGTCTCAGCATGGTAAGAATTTCCAGTATAGGGAGGAGTATATAGGAGCTTGGTCATCAAAGGCTTTGGTTCACGTAAAATCTTAGATCTTACTCAGTAGAGAAAGGTGCTTCACTGAAAACAAACAAATGCATGAGTTTCACAAAGATCGATTATTCTAGCTACTTGTGGGGAATGGTGAGAATGGGTAAATGAAGTGTAGGGAGACTAACTGGGAGGTCTTTGCCATAGAACAGAAGGGAAGCGATGGTGGTCTGGACTATTGAGGCAGCAAGCATAGCGAGATGTGTGAAGATATGGGAAGCTCTAAAGAACTATAATCAATAGGACTGATAGTTGCATGTGGGGCAAGAAGCTGATTTGGGGGAGAAGTCAAGGCTGAAATCCACTTTACTGCTTTTAGGCAATTGGAAGAATGGTAGAGTTACTCACCAAGAAATTAAATGGAGGAAAACTAATCTCTATACAGAAGTCATCAAGCAGCAATGTCCCTGGACCATCCCACTATTTTTTCCTCATTTAGATTATGATACAGCACCTCAAGAGGGTCAGGAAAGAACGCTTTACAGTGAGGAAGTTCACAGGGTGGACTTGATGTTCGAGGACCTGAGATTAAATCCCACACTGCCAGGCAATACCTGTATGCATTTAAATTGCAGACATTTGAATTGCTATAAAGTATATTTCCTCTTCTGTAAAAGAATAATAATAGGCACATCATAAGTCTGTGAGGATTAAATGAGCTTGTGTATCTAAAGCATTTACCACAATACTGCGCAAATACAAATCAGTCAATAAACAAGAGATATATTATTGTCTATTTGCAGTTTATTGTTTTGTTTTTGTTCTGGAGGAGGAGATGACATTTTGTATAATGTTCACTGAAGGGAGAGATATGAGATTTAAGTTCTATTCCTGTTTTCATTATTGATTCTCTTGGAGAAATTTTGTTTACTTCTCTGAGCTGTGGGTTGCCCATTTTTATACTTAATGACTGTTCCCTTTTTGTCTCACCAGGGAAGAAGGCAGACAATAGAGACAAAATAGCATAAGTTACCCATTGTATACATTTTAAAAAGAAAAATAAATTGTGAATTAATAATATTGTTAATATGTTGACTAATTTAGAAGATATGTAATTCTTCATTATCCACACTGAAATAAAAAAACAGTTTCTTCATAAAGTTACTGGTCTTTCAATTATCAGGAGGAAAGAATGTTTTCACAAGATTA